ACCCAATACACACATGCACAAGCATGTACACACGCAGGTAAGTGAACCCAATACACACATGCACAAGCATGTACACAAATAACATGATACACACAGAGATAAATACACCCAGTAAACATGCACAGGCATCCATGTACACAATATAAAAATAATCCACAGCTGTTTTCTGTGTTTATACTCAAATTTTTAGACTTGTGTTTTCCATAGTCTTGGCTTTTTATTCACTATGGTCAAATTTTTTAGTATCTCTCCCTTGTTTTATTTAGAAGGAATATTGGGTTTGTGAGATAAATTTTATTTCCTGGGGGCAAAACATTCCCTCTTCCTAACCAGTTCATAAATCAGGAAAGTATAGAAGGTTGCTCAGGTGATGAAGAGCAGGGGGTAAGGATCTTGGCAAACAGGCAGTGACATAAGCCTTATGGGCTTTTTGGGTTGATTGATTTTTGGAACTAGGCGGACACGAGTTTGAAAGTGGAAATATGTACCTGTCTGTACTGTCTTACATCAATCAAAAGTACTTGATGATAGATACCCACAAGAACACCGTGCTTGCTCCCTGTTAAGAAACAGCCTTGGAAACCTTCACCAGAACAGAGGGAGGAGAGAGAGGAGGATGACTTGAAGCGGAAGCAAGGGGAAGCCGCCTCGTCCGGCGGGTTCTAAAACAGCACCCAGCATGTCAAGCCTTCCCCGAGGCACATCAAGCTTGAAGGAAGCAATAGCTCAAAAGAAACCAGAACATGGCCTGGATTTTAGAACTAGAAACCTACTTTCCTGGTTGTAATGTATAGATATAAAGTCTGAAATACCTGAGAAAAAATATCGTTGTCTTCAGGCAAACTCTCATACTGAGGTTGTAGATACCAGAAATATTCAACTTCTTTAACAGCATTTTGATGAACTAAATGCCCAGTTCCTGCTATACAGGCTCAGTAATGACCAAATTCCTCTGAATGAAGGAGCATGCAGACCAAGCAGCCACTTCCTACTTCATCTCCCCGACTAATCATCACCTGCCATAAAGCATTATTTCAAATATACCTGAAATGCTGGCAACTGCTACTATTGAAAGACATGCTGGAAATACGGGTATACAAAAGTTTTCAGCTCAGCTCACCTAGTCCCATCATGTGACACTGGCCAGAAAAGCTCTAAATGCCTGAATACTATTCTGTCAGGGACATAGAAGGGATACCAACAAGGCCCTGTTCACAGCCCACAACTTCCCAATACGATTACGCCTGAGCTCCCTCTCTCGAAAGTTTGCAATGTAAGAAGTCCAAGCGGTCCTCCGGTGTAGCTTGTTCTTCCCCAGAATACAGTAACTTTCTCTCTTCTTAATGGTTAAGCTATAAGCTGACTTCAGCCACCAACTTTAAAACCTGACAGAACCGGGTCAGAGACTAAGAAGCCCAAAGGGGAAATGAAGCCAGCAACAGCAAACTACAGAAACAGCGTGGGCTGAGGCTAGAATAAAACCAGCAACACGTAAGGTAAAAGGCTGACATGAAATGTTTTTCTTGTGTTCAGATCTAGAGGGCCACCGGGCCCATTTTCTTACCAAACTGGGCTAAACGTTTTAGTAGTTTTCCATCTTCCATATTCTTGTCTAGATCATGTAAGAAAATATCCACGTAAGCTATCAGAAAGACACACAATTATGCAACAAGGCATCATTTAACTCTGCAGATCCTGCATCCGCAAAAGCTGCCCAATGGCGCTGGCTCACTTATGGGACAAGTGCACTCACCGATGGTGTAGAATCGCTTCAGCTCCGTCTTCCTGGAAGGGTGCTTCTGGGTGTTCGCCGAGTTGTTCTGCTCTTCTTCAATGACGGGGGTCTTGGGTGCAGGAGCCTTGCTGGCTTGTGGCGTTGGCTTCCCTGCACCTCCCAAAGGGTTGAACCCTGGTGCAGTAATATCCACGGACTGGGACTTTTTCTTCAACCTACAGGAGAAGAACACCAGACACTGTGAGTGTGGACTTAAGAGGCAGTTGCCTGTTTATCTCCATCTTGACCTTCTATTTTTAGCCACAGAGTTACATTTGACCTTAAACTAGAACCTGGTCTATTTAGAAGTTGGAAACCTTCTAACATTTTAAAATAATAAAGTTAAATAGGTTTTCAACTAATTAGAAAAAAAAATCTCTGTCCAATCATTTAGAAAGGCTTATTAGATGTATCAAAATGTAATGCGATGAAGGGATTCTATTATTTCCGTAATAGCCAACCAACATGTGACGGTCGGGTGAAAGTAATGCGTTGGATCCGATACTGATGGCCATGCTCACACCTGGAATGTCAGAAGCTAAGGCAGAGGATCCTGAGATCATTCAAAGGCCAGCTTGGAATTAAGTAGCAAGATACCGTCTCAACCCTGCATTTGATCAATTGCATTTACATCTAAAAGGGGTACTCTAGTTAGATTTAGTTAAAATAAGTAATTGCAGCTCAGCAAAATATAATAAAATGACTTTATTAGCTATTGCATTAATCCCTTTTCTTTTTGTTCTTTATGTGTCTGGAGTGTGTTTGTATGTGGGGTGTGTGTGTGTGTGTGTGTATTTGTGCAGGTATGTACCGGCATATGTGCACCCATGAACAACTGTATGGCAGGTTGATAAGCCGATCTTCCTTGGTTGTTCTATGTTACATGCTGTAAGACAGGATTCTTGCTGAACACAGAGCCCCGTGGTTCAGTTGTTCTCCTTTCCCAGCTTGCCCCAGGGTTGCCCTGGGCCTGCCTTTCATCTTGTGGAATTATAGATGAGTCTCCATCCCCATTTGGGTTTTATGAGGGTTTGGAGAACTCTACTCTGGTCCTTACACTTGTATAGTGAGGGCACCCATCCCCTCCACTCTAACTACTAGTGATTTTTAGTTTAATCTGCCACATTACATTAAAGACAAAAATGATAGCATTCATGCCATTTCTTCACACATGCCCAGTAACCATCAACGGTTGCCTCACGTCTACATTTTCAGGAGAAGACAAGGCTCAACGTGAAAAGTCAAAGGCTATCACAAGTTTTTTTCTACTCATGTACAGTTGGGGTTGTACAGGTTACTGGCAAATGAATTAAATCCAAACAGTCATATATTTTAAGGTACACAGCTGATATGATCAGGTCTGAAGCCCAGGTTATGATTGGGCCTTGGTACTTCTGAATGCAATCGTGCCATTTAAAAAATACTTAGTACCCTATAGGAAGTCACATCATTGTCTTCATTATAATTATCAAACCTAAAATTTTGTAATTCACCCCCCTCCCACATCCATCATTTATTTAGGGTTTTCCAGAACCCTGAGTTCTAGTTAATGCCCTACTGTGAGACCTGCTTAGTGCTGGGGATTTAGTTTAAAGATGGCCTCCAATGACACAGGTCAGAGTAGCTTCCTGCCATATAGCAAAAAGGTTCAGTCATAATTTGCCTTCAGTAAGCGTCTACTGAATTAAATGCACTAGAACAAAAACCCTTAAAGAGGAACATGTTCTATTAGTAGAATTTCACTAATGAAAGCTGCATAATAAACTTTAGCTGGTTATTTATCACAGATATGATTATTATTCCATTTTCATACCTCCTTTGCTATTTTAATACCCACAAAAATATTTTACCCAAATCACGCACAAATAGACTTGCTCAGCAACATTATTCCTGAGACGCACAGAATGAAATCACAGTGCATTCAGAACACATTCAGGACACTGGCTAAATTGTAAAACACTTGCAACCATGGAGATGAGACGTAACTGAAGTCCCATGCCTCGGTGGGAGGACAGCCTGTCAAGATCACATTGGAAAACTGTCTCTCCATGTCTCCTAGGGCCCGAGGTATATGCCTTTATATGTTAACTAGAAGTCAAGTCTAAGAATATTCACACCAGCACGCTTTATAATACAGAGAAACTGAAGGTGCCATTGAAGCGTGTCAATGATAAAATGGAATTTTACATAGCAATGGGAACAGGGATGTGTGGCTATTGTACGATTCCATTTACATAAGAGTCAAAAACAGGCGAAATGCGTGCAGGCCCAGGAAGCGGGCAGGCTGACTGCAGGTCTTCCCTCTCCTGCTCCTCCAGATCCTGCAATGCGCCCCTCCCCCAGTCGTTCATTTAACCTGCTCTGCAATAGAACACCTGTTGCAGTCTCTCTGCCTCCCTCACACCCTTTCTCCTGGAGATTCTAAAGATCTTCCCCTCCCCCTCAATGCTTTAGCTCCCACCTCCAGCAGGCTCTCCCAGCTACAGCCAGGTCATTCTGAGCAGGGAAGCGGGTAGGCTAACTGCAGGACTTAACGACCACTCCTCAAAGTCTAGTCCCTCGGTTTTATCACTAGTTCTAGAGCAGACATTCTGCTGTGATTTCATTCTCTGACCCCAAACCCCAGGGGACTAATTAAGCAGACCCTGGTGGACCTTTCTGCTTTCCTTCTTCCTGGAACTCCCTCAGCCATGTCCCCAGCCACATTTCCAGCACCATCCTAACTGTTGACTCCTAATGTTATGCCCAAATCTGCAAAGTCCCTGCAAAAGCCAACATGGAGACCGAGTTCTGTATGTAAAAGCAAAGAGCCTTTATTTTAATCAAGTTTTCAAACTCGGTCTCTCTGCTTGTCCAATGCATTGGGATAAACGGAGAGCTCAGTTAGAGTTGGGTTTTATAGTAGTGAAGGTGGGGGTGCAGGGTTTCTGAGGTTCAGGACCCCTGATTGCCTGACATTTGTCTAGGGGTGTCCTGGTGAGTGTGTTCTGGCAGTGGTCCTATCTACAGTGGTTGGAATGTTAGGCTTTTCCTTTGGATGGTCTGTTCTTGGGTGGAGGTCAGGTAATCTCAGCTTGTGGTTCTTCCTGCAACCAGATATTGCTCAGGGTAAACTACTGAGACTCAGGCCTCTTATTAAATTTTTCGATGTCCAAGTTCTACTATGGCAGGTGATAATGGTTGGAAGTTTTTTGGGTGACCTGCCCATACTTAGCTTATCATGGCGGGCTCCCACACTAATACCCAGAAAGATTTTACCCAGAACACAGAGTGACCACACCTATCAGGACCACAGAAAAATGTTCTACTAAACACTCACAACCACCACACTAGAGAGGAAATAGAAACCAAAGAACAAAATACCCACCCAACAAACACAAGACCAGACATTAGCATCTACAATTACAATCTTCCCAACCCTGGATGCCTGGATGTCATGGGGGGCGGGTGATGGGGGACGAGGACAAGACAGGACACAGTCAAAACAGGCAAGATAATATGTCTCCACTAGAGCCTAGCAACCCCACCACAGCAGGCCCCGAATATACCAATACAGTTGAAGCACAAAAATGCCTTAAAACAGTCTTTATGAATATGACAGAAACCCTTAAAAAGAAAATGAATAAATCCCTTAAAGAAGTCTATGAAAACACAGAGAGTGGAAGGAAGTGAACAAAAAACGTGAAGCTCTGAAAGTGAAAATAAGGGCAACAAAGAAAACCCAAACTGAAGCAAATTTGGAAATGAGAAATTTAAGAACTCAAACAGGAACCACAGGGATGAACTTCACCAACAGAATAAGAGAGTTGGAAGAGAGAATCTCAGGCATTGAAGACATACTAAGAGAAACAGACACCTCAGTCAAAGAAAGTGTTAAACCTAGAAATTAATAAATAATAAAAATTCCTGGCACAAAATTTCCAGGAAGTCTGAGTAAGACACTATGAAAAGACCAAACCTAAGAATAATAGAAATGGAGGAAGGGGGGAAGTCCTGGGTTTTTTTCTAAGGCATAGAAAAATATTTTCAACAAAGTCATAGAAGAAAATTTCTCTAGTGTAAATAAGAAGATGCCTATCAAGGTATAAGAAACTGATACAGAACATCAAATAGACTAGACCAGAAAGGAACTTCCCTCAGCACATAATAATTAAAACACTAAATGTCCAGAACAAAAAGAATATCAAAAGTTACAGGAGAAAAAGACCAAGTAACAGGCAGACCTGTTAGAATAACACCTGACTTCTCAATGGAGACTATAAAATCCAGAAGGCCTGGACAGACTCCAAGAAACCAAAGATGCCAGCAAGACTATGATACCCAACAAAACTTCCAGTTACCATAGAGGGAGAAAATAAGATATCCCATCAAAAATCAAATTTAATCAATATCTACAAATGCAGTCCCACAGAAAGTGCTAGAAGGAAAATTCCAACAGGAAATAAATAATCCCAGACAAGCAAAGTTAAAAGAAGGAAAATACACCCACGCATTTCACGTGTGCATACACACACACACACACACTAAATAACAGGAATTAAAAATCATTGGTCATTGATATACCTCAACATAAATGTTCTCAATTCCCCAAATAAAAAGATAATTCCCCAATAGAAAGACACATTCTAACAGACAGAATGTATGCGAAAACAGGATCTATCCTGCAATATCCCAGAAACACATCTTAACATCTAGGATAGACATCACCTTAACATAGAAAGATGGAAAAGTATCTCAAGCAAATGGACCTAAAGAAGCAAGTTGAGGGATCCATTTTAATATCTGACAAAACAGACTTCAAACCAAGACTAATCATAATATATAGGGGAGGACACTACATATTCATCAACGGAAATATCCACCAAGGGAATTTCGTACTTCTTAATATCTATGCTGCAAACACAAGGGCGCCCAAGTTCATAAAAGAAACACTACCAGTGCTTAAATCACATGTTGATTCCTGCACACTGATCGTGGGAGACTTCAATATCCCACTCTTGTCGAAAGACGTTCATCCAGGCCCAAACTAAACAGAGAAGTGCTGGAGCTAACTGACACCATAAACCAAGTGGACCTAACAGATACTGCAGGAAATTTTACCCAAACACAAAAGGATATACCTTTTCTCTGTCCTTAATGATTTTCTAGAAAACTGACCACACACTAGGACACAAAG